CAGAAGATGAAATCAAGGGGAGGGGGAGCGGCACGGCCCACGTTGAACTCCAAATTTCTAAGAAGATGAAGGGCTATTATTCTTTTTTGATTGCTGCCCCTCTCAAATCCCAGGAGAGTCTCCGGTTGGTTAGTAAAGGGCATCACGAAAGTACAGAGCATTCTTAAGTGTATCTGGTCGATTGGATGGTACCGATACATCAAAACTTTCGGCTAAGAAATCAACCAGAGGATTGTCATTATGATTACAGGCCAGTGGGAGTCATTGCCGTTTGCTGCCTTTGCCTTTTTTTGGTTTGTGTAAAAGCGGGGGCGGCTCACCCCTAAGCTTATTATTACAGACAGCACACAGCTCAGCTGATTTCTTCAGGATATTCCAGGGGGATTCGAGCTCATGACCTGAAAAAAAAAAATACTCATGACATGTTTATTAACAGCTACATATGTGTTGTGTGTCATTCAGCTACTTTGCTGCCTTTCCAATGTCATAATGATTATTACATTTGTGTGAAATTGTGTCATTCATAATAATTATTACATTTAGTATGATTACTTTGCTGCCTTTCCAGCTTATTATTACGTTTAGTATGACCCTGTTCGAATGTCATAATGATTGGAAAAAACAGGGAGAAAAAAAATCACATAATATGGGTCTCGTTAGACACTCCTAAAAGTTCCTGTTTTTAGGATTGCGTCTTGGTTGCACGCAATCCTAAATTGGACGCGGGAATTGAAAATGTGAAAACAGCGTTAGGACTCGTCCTAAAAGATTTAGGATTCCCCAGCCAAATCGTCCTAAATTTTCCAGTAGCCCCGGACCTACTGAAAAATTTAGGATTCCCGCGTTTCACGGAGTCGTCGCGTCGCGAGAATGGCACCGTCGACACGGAGGTGGTGGTCCAGGAGAGGTCCGTCGGGTCGGTGGGCGGACATCGGAGGTTTTCTGCCGGTCGACGACGGCAACGGCCCCCACGGGTGGCCGTTGGCCGGTGGGGTGGAGCGCGGTGGGCGAAGCGTGGCCTGGCTCGCGGCCGTTGAGGACCGTTGGCTTGGGTGCGGGCAACGGAGGAGTCCCCAGACGTGCGCACGACGACACATGGAGGCTATCGTGGGCGCCAACGGTCACTTTTTTGAATCGCAGGCGGCATCGTTTGTCGTCTTCGCTGGCGGTCGACGGCATATGAAGGCCCAACGTCCTTGTCCGCGGGCTTGTGAGGAGAAAGTTCAGCACGACATCATGTGCAAGGTCGCCTGTCGACGTCGAATTCATGGCAGACATGCAGAGGAGATTGCCTCTGCTGCTTCTCGTTGTCGTCGTCTTCCTGTTTGTCGTCTTCCTCCACGTGTGCTTGTCGTGCCGGCCGTGGAAGCAACGTCGCAAGCGCAGGGCGTCAACGAAACGCGGTGTGCAGGTACGCGCTGTTCCGCCCATGGCGGGCATGGAGGTACGCGCTGTTCCGCCTGCGGCTGAGGGCGGAAGAAGACCTCCGACGACGGAGCCTTCAAGGCGGTACGACCCCTCCATGTACAGCCATCTGCCGTCGTGGGAGATGCCGCTGCCTCCCTCGGATGAGGAGCCGGAGGAGGATGAACTTCCAACGTTTCCTCTCGCCAGCGGGTCGACGCAGCTGTTGTCGCAGACGGTGCTCGCAGGCGGGTCGGCAAGCAATGGACGCGGCGAGTACACGACACTCCTGCAGCAGGGATTGGGAGACGACGACGACGGGGGAGTTGATCTCCGGTTCGGGTTGTCTTCTGGCGGCGGTAGGGAGGCGAGCCGCATGTTCATCATCGACGCCGATCCTTCACCGCGTGGCGTTCAACAATCTGGAAGTCGGCATACAGAGCAGTCCACACTTCCTGGCGGTACGTCCGTTTGTGTCGGTGTGAGGCCATCGTCAGCAGGCCGGCAGCATGGATCGAGTGCACCGTCCGCCGATCGATTGACAAGCACCTGCCCCGAACGCAACGGAGTCGCAGTAGGGTCCCTGCGCATCGGCGGTACACTTCATTCGATGCCCAAAAGCACAACGCCGACCCAACCCGACCTCAGGGACGACAGCACGTGCAGACCAGCGGTGCGTCGAACACCCAGTGTGGAGAACATCACACGAGGAGTGTCAAACATGTGGGCACACAGCGATGGTGGCGACGACGATGGTGGTGGCGGTGACGATGCAGACGGGCGATTCGGGGAAGACGTGGAGGCAGGGGACGACGACGACGACATTCCTATTCGGTCTTTGGGGAAGACGGGCGGGAGGGGGAGAGGACGCAGCAAGGGTGTTGTTCGTGGTCGATCCGTTGGCCGTGGGGGCAGAGGTGGCGTCAGCGATGACGGCGGGAAGTCTGCGACGTACTGGTCCCCGAAAGAGCAAATCCAACTGGTGAGATGCAAGCGGGAGCAAGAGATGCACCTCGCCGGTCTCGGTCACAATTACGGGCGGATGCGGACCAAGGAGTGGAAGTGGGAAGATATTGCCAAGCGCATGGCGAACGCGGGGAGCCGAAAGACGCGGACGACTGCATGAAGAAGTGGGACGATATCTTCCAAAACTACAAGAAGATACAGAGGTTTCAGAATGCGAGTGGCCGACCAGATTTCTTCCGGCTATCGAATGAAGAAAGGAAGGAACACAACTTCAAGTTCCGAATGGAGAGGGCGCTATACAACGAGATCCACATAGGCATGGTTGGCAACCACACAATTTTCCCTCCCAACATCGCCGACACTGGAAGTCCGGACGGGGTGCATCTGCCCAGGCGAGGAGCGGGTGCTGGGGAGTCTGTTGGTAGTGAGGGCGCTGGTGAAGGTCTCCCTGAAGAACATTCTACTATGAGGGACTCCGACAGCAACCCTGCCAGCGGGGCTGGAGGCGGTAAGCGGAAGAATGCGCGTCAACAGGTGTTGGAGTCGACTGCTGATGTCATGGACCGCCATGGCGAGCTGATGTCGTCGACGATCGAATCATCTAGCAAGCGGCAATGCAGCATATTCACGAGGTAGTGCGACATACTAGAGCAGGAAGTTGCAGTCCAGAAAGCGCACTACGCGGCATCCGATGAGACGCAGAGGATGATGTGCCACGCGCTTCTGGAGATCGCTGCTGCCATCCGTGGTCGGTCGGCGACGTAGGGTGCATGGTGTGTGTGTGTGATAGTGAGTGTCAGTGTGTGTGGGTGTCCTCCACACAGTTGTATGGGTAGTTGTGTTTAATTTTTTTTTCGTCATCATTTTGGATGGCAGTGCATCGTCTGTGTTTTCATGGCTCGTCAACGAGACAGCCGCGTGTGGAATGGGGTTTGAGGTTCCCGGACTGTGGAGGCGGGGGTTTGG